CCTTTTGAGCTAATCAGCATGCTTTCTTTCTTAATTCACGCTTGAATTGCTAGAGACTAGCAATAAGCTGGTTGGGGGTTGTGATGAAAGCATGAACATGTATATCTAAATTGTGCTTAACCATGGACATTTGTGAAATTATGGGTTTAAGAGTTATATTTTTTTACAAATAATTTCATAATTGTTCACTCTATTCATGTTGTGCAAAATTTTGGTGATTAAAGGTTTGATGACTAAATGGAGAGAATTAGAAGAAAAAAGACTTAAATGCAAAGATCTGAAAAGATGAGGATCTAAGGATAAATCAGAAGTTTAAAGGCTCAAGAGTCAGGGACCAAGACTGTTATTCTGCCATTAAGCAAAATTGCACAAAAGGCCAAAAACCCGACACGGAGGATGCAGCTGACGCGCCACTCAAAGTGCCGGCACCTTTTGAAGAGTGTGGACCCCTTGCGCAGTAATTCAGCCCAGCCCGACCTCCATTCTAATTAAGGTTTTTAGGATTCTATAAATACCCATCTAAGTTATTTTAGAGGGGGTTCCAAGGGCTGGAGAGGCTGCTACCAGATTTTTATTTTCTTCTTCAAGGTTAGAGAATTATGTCAAAAGGTAACTAAACTTTCAACAAGACCATGGAAGATCTTGATTGAAGAGTTTGACTTGTTATTTTATTTTGATTCCTTTATAGATTTTATTGTTTAATTTTATTTTGAGAGATTGTTAATTATTTTCAGATCTGAAAACCCTGAAAATTATATTTATCAAATTTCATATAAGATTAGTCATGGTCTTTTTATGTGTGATTTGTTAGAATATAATTGATTGGTAGATTTGTTTTGCGGGTTGATCCTTTACTGCAGTATTGTCGATTAGATATATTGTCGCTCTCGGATAGCTCGTAAGGATAGATCAGTTTGTTCTTCATTGAAATTAATTTTTCTCAGGATAAATACATTAGTCATTATTATTGGTTTTCAAAATTGAATCTTCCGATTGTTTGTTTGGGATGTGAAACATGCAATTGAGTAATAAATAGGAATAAAAATTTATAACAGTTAAACAAATCAATTAAGTGATCCCTGAAGTTTTGTTCATCATAATATTGTTTTTAATCTTTTACAATTATTATCTTTTATTTAAATATTTTTATTCTTAATTTTAGAATTCATTTTTTAATTTAATTTCTCATTGTGACAACTCTTTTTGTTGATTTAATATAGCTTCCCTGTGGATTCGACACCTAACGCTACGCTACAACAACCGCTTAGCCAAATGGTATTAATTTTGAGGCGAGACATCAGGTAACAATTGGATGGGCTAGGTGAGAGCAGGTAGAAGGGTAGGTTCAAGGTGGTGGAGGGATCTATGTGGGTTAAGTAGTGGGTCAAT